CTCTCTCTCTCTCTCTCTCAATTAATGCATATTTTCCTTGCTCTTTATTACAGAAGAGGAAGAGCGCTTCATGCCGCTGATTATATCTCACTGTAGCAAGTGTGAAGTATGTGTAGGTGGCTAGATGCATATTTATTTCCTATGTGCGTTTTTTTTTTTTTTTCAATTACAGAAATAAGCCTCCATACAACAGAGAATTTCTGTATGTTGACGTGCTGTATTGTATAGCTTGTAATAAGCACTCCATTCCCATTGCAGATGTATGCATTTGTGTATGCATAGTGGAACAACTAATAACTGGAGCAGGGAGCCTTGTTTTTATAACGCCTTACATGTAATTAAATTGATGTGATGAAATGTTAATGCAGTTATGTCTTCATGAGTTATCGTCTCTCCTCCGTTCTCATTTCAGTTCAGAGAAGCCTTATTATAAAGACATTTTGACCAAAAAACATGTTGGCACAGCATATTCTAGAAACAATAAATAGGAACACAAGGAATATAAGAATAATTATGTTCATTATTATATAAAGTAGAAAGAAAAATAATGCCTTTTATGGGAAGATTCTGAGACCAATGATAAGCTATGAAATCACCCACTCAGTCATTACTCCCTACTCACTATCTAGGGAGTTCTATGCAGAGGACTATATATGGAGCTCATCTGCAAAATAAAAAAACACACCAGTCGGTTCATTTTCTCCGCTCCGTTAGTTGTGCAGTTGCTATTGAGCAAATAAAATGTGCCAGATCAATGTTGTCTAGTGGATTTACAATATAAGGATGGACCATTCATAGTAAATACAGAAGACATGCATTTATTTGATAAATACATGATATCATACTGATCGTATTTTCACACATTAATGAATACAAAGTACTTTGTTGCTGTTTGTGTTGCTAGTACTCCTACTTGTTCTGCCACCACTGACAGTTTAAATAAGCTCTTTCGTTGTTTGGGGGAAAATTCCGTAGTTTTCTACAATGATCTGTCCCAATAGCCCATTGGTGATTACTAAATGTGGGTTTAGTTAAAATTTGCCTGTGCATACGGTTTAAAATTTGGATGAAATGCAGGGATATTTGATGTCTTTGAATTGATTGATAACATTTAAGTTTTTGTTTTTATAGATATGTTTTATTAAGTCGGTAGAATAATATAATAATGATAATATGGTAATTCTTTATAATTGTTTTCCAGTTTAATCATGGTATCATTCGGTGATATTGAGATGATCTAATCATATGTTTTCACCTCGTTTTAATGAGAAGGAGTGTATTTTCTGGAACACTTTGCATTAGTAGAACAATGCAATGAATCAGAGTTTTATATGAATCAGAGTTTCTTTCAGATTACTAATTGACCTTATTTTCATCCATCTGTGTCTCTCTTTCTATCTGTGTCTCAGAGATTCAGAGGGCCGTAAGCTCTGTAAGAAAGTGAAGGTGGACCCGAGTTCCAAACGTGGAGGAGCAGAACTGTTGCACTACAAGTGAGTAACCAGAAACTCAGGTGGCTGTAAGACACTTTTCCTCACCTCAGTGCTTTCTGGAAAGTAATTCCGTGTTCACAGCTTAAGAAGCACGTTGTTCAGCGTTTACTCCTGGTTGTTGTTGTGAGCACTCTGCCTGGTGTGTCTTGCAGAGATGGGACATTCCACACAGAGTACAACAGGCCCGCTACCTTCAAGGTGGGTGCTGCATTCTTTACACAAGGTTTCCGCTCAATTGCAGCATGTGTCCTCTTTCATATTATACAGCCTAGTGTGTCTGTGTTCATTTAATTCACTCATTAAGTTAGGTAGAGCAACTTCACTCCGCCTGTTTTGTTAAGATTATTAATAAAACATTCAGGGAAAAATATAAATAGGAAAAAATAACCTTCTCTGACTAATATTTTCTTTGTAATTAGTCAAAATTATTTTCTAGAAATTCATCCCCAGGCCTCTATTCATGGTCTGCATTGGTGTGCTCCAAGCATAATTATATCTTCTACATGAATGAGCCAGATACAGTGCTGTGGTTGCTTGATGTTTTTATTCTTTCCATTTTCAAATTCTAAATGAAATAACATAGTTTTCCATAGAAAATACCTATGTAGGTCACATTTAGCGGGGTATGAATTTAAAGCAGGTAGAATCAGAATTTTTACTATACCGATATGTCAAATGACAATCTGAAATGTGACAGTGTGAAAGGTGGATGCTTGTAGTGATGAAACTATAGAAAATGATCAGCTGAATCTGCAGCTCCCCTCGGCTTCACAGAGCTTTACAGCGAGTTTCAGCTCACTGTTCAGCTGTCCAACAACTTAACTGTTTTAGTTTACCCTCTCTCCTAAAGCCATTAGCAGGCAGCTATTGTCTGTGACAAATCTCTAAAGACCCTTGTACACTACCTGCTCAGCACCGAACAGACACTATTAGCAACTAGCTGGTGAACATAGTGGAGCATTCAGTGACTAAAGAGGCAGCTATTTCCCTCAGGAGTTGGTAGAGGACTAAAATGGAGCTAAAAGAGAGTGGATATTAGACTTACATGTGTCAGTTTGCCATAAGCACAACTTCAAATGAATGATGTTGTTGCTCCATAACTGCAGGATGTGTAAATAAGCAACTGTTTGTTCACTTAGAAGTTGACATGTCAGTGGTGTGTTTACAGCTGCCCCCAATTGGCAAAAAAACCCCAGCTATTGCAGGTTTAATATGATAGTACACAATATTTATTTATCCAGCAGCTGGTTGCATCTGTAGGTATTTTCATGATCTCACAAATGTCTGTTGTCTGCTTGAAACAATGTTTGCCAGCGCTTAAATCCAATATTTCTACGGACTGTACTGTTCACTGTTCTGGCGTAACATAGGGCAGCAGTAGACTTAACACACTACATCCAATGAAGAAGAGGAGGATGATACAGAGTGCCACTTTTTCCTCTGGCACACCATCTTTGACCGAGCATAAACAGTGCAGACACCAGTAATCAGAGAGCATATAAACAACAGCCGTGTTTCATTGGCCACCTTACTGTAATTAGCTACAGCTTACTAAATTTCCACTCTTTCACCACAAGACACAAAGTCGCAGGTCTTGAAATTTGAAAATCAAATTGTGATTTAGATGTAAACTCCTTCATTAAGACTAGAATATGTAGAATGGACCTGATTTCTTCTTTTGAATTAATCTGAGTCAATGCCCATATTTCTTTCCCTGACAGATGGAAAGGCCTTTAACAGTAAAACACCAAAAGTGTCAGTTTAAACCCTTACCAAGTAACCTTGATAATCGCATCATAATCATTAAATATTCTGCCCGTGTCTGTACTGTCGTTGTTATAGCTCTGCTGAATGAAATATTTCCTGCTGTTGCCTCCGCAGACATATGGTTCATTATATTTACAGGAACTTTACCAAGCCCATTACCAGACAATTAAAGGTATTGAAATAGCTTTGACACCTCTTGGATGTACAAACATGTTGGTCTATATGAGCTTCCACCTGGCACAGCCCACAGCGTTGCCTGCACTAAATTTAGGTGTGTCTTGACGTAAATCATCACCAGTCACTCTGTTGTTTACAGGATCATTTTGTGCCAGTGACAAGTTGTTGCCTTTCTTCTCACTGATTCATCATTCTAACTTTTCTATCTTTTTTCCCCCTGTTTTTCATGCATTTAGTCCATGGTAGCATTCTTGAAAGACCCATCAGGACCCCCACTGTGGGAGGAGAACCCTGAGGCAAAAGATGTTGTCCACATAGAGACAGAAAAAGTAAGTTGTGATCTAAACAAGCTTTCGCTGCTGTTCTTTGAAGACATCCAGAACATTCATGTTGACATACAGTTACCGTCATTGCAAGACAGCGAGGAGGCAGTTAATGTGATGCAGTGTCCACCTCTCCTCTCCTCTCCTGTCCTATTGAGGGTTTAATCAGCTTTTGAAGTTGACACAGCAGCGTCTCTGCCTCTTCAACACAACGCCCCACACATAAAAGCAACATATCGGGGCTTTATCATCAAAGAGCTGCGCAGCGTAGTTTACAGAGTCTACTAACACAGCCTAAGAAAACATTTCCAGACAGCCCTCTTCCAGCCAGGTCAGATGGCACTCTTATCAAAAAACCTGCAGTACATTCACCCACGGCCTGACACCCCAAGACACTACAGCATTTTGAAAGGCCTTTGATTTAATGATCAGCAGCCCTGTCGGTTTTCGCCTGCTCGTCCACTCATGCCTGGAGGCTTGTTAAAGGTGTCAACAAAAGATTGTGCTGAATATGGGGGTTTTTTTAGGAAGTAGCTGAGCTCATGAAGGCGAGAAACTGGTATGGGGGCTGATCTACCTGCTGTCCAAAGAAGAAAGTCCTTTTTATTCTTTCTTTGCTGATGTGATGACTCTGTGTAATATACACAGTCTAATAAACTGCTGAAGAAGCAAAGATGATGGTGTGCTTAGTTATTTTAAAGCTCTGTATGCTAAACAGAGAGATACTTTGGGAAATCTACCCCGAAGCAAGCTGTCTGTGGAATCTAGATGTTGTATTATGTGATCATTGACTTTAAGCTTTAGTCAACATTAGCAAAGTTTTTCTTGGACAAATTACGCATTTACACTTTGAACTTTTACACTTTTTTTGTTTATAAATAACAATGCTTCTTATTCATCTCCTTGATCCCTCCCTCTCATCCTTTTTAAGGACTTCAGGAAGCTGCTGAAGAAAGAGGAGAGGCCGGTCCTCCTGATGTTCTATGCTCCCTGTGAGTCTTTTCATTATCACAGTGTTCAGTAGCTCGCAGTAACTGGGACAAATGGTGCTCTCCTCACTAGGTAGTTTGAACATATTATGATCAGAAGACAGTGTGCCAGGGAAAGTGACAGCAGCTATTATTGCCCAGAAAATATGAAAAACCTACCAAATAAAATGCCTCATTTATAAAGAGAAAATACAGTAGGTGGCCTAAATCAATAAACTGGGGCATACTCTGCAATACTACACTGTCATAATCAATACATTCATCATATTTGGCAAACACAGGACTCTTTCTCGTCTTTGAATATATTGTGCTGTTTTTATAATAAGAATGAGTCTCAAACTGAGTATATTCATTACTGATTAATTATCTCAATTATTTTTTCTATTAATATTTAGTCAAGGTGACATTCTCAAATTGCAAATATTCAATTAATTTTATAAAACCGAAAAAGCAGCAAATCCTGACTACTGAGGAAGTGGAATCAGTTTGGCATTAATAAATGCCTTTTAAACAATTAATATGCTAAATTGTTGACAGTTAAACTCTGTACATTGGATTAATGATTAACCTGCCATTCACTTCAACATCAGTGTAATCGTCAGTGAATTGTTTTGTCTCCTATTGCTGCTCAGTAGTAAATACTTAACATGGGTTTTTCCATATGTTGTGCTCACTTATTACGGTCTGTGGTTTTCAGCACATCATATCTTTTACTGCAGATAGCACACTGCAAGCTGCTATTGACAAAAAAAAACAAGGCAATTCCCCTGGCAGATGATGGGAAATCTTTTGACAGTTGTATTGATGCTGTCAGAGCGATGGTTCCCATTGAGTTCTCTGTAATAACTTCATGTTCCGTGTTGTGTTTTGGTTGCAGGGTGCGGCGTTTGTAAGAGAATGCAGCCCGTCTTTCAGCAAGCCGCCACAGAGACCAAGGGGAAATATGTAAGTCTGCTAAAGCCCCCCCCCCCCGCGCACTTGGTCCACTGTCTTATTGCATTAACTGTCTCTGATCTGCTGCAGCCATCATTCTCCGATGTTTGCAGATTAGATGAGATGTGTCAGCAGTGAATATCTGAATGGTTAGCTTGGCAATCTGCAAGAGCACAGTCTGTCAGTCTGGCCTAAATGAAAGCTTTCCTTGGTTGTTTTTCTTGCAAAACTTCTCACAAGTTCACAGCTCAACAACTTCTGCACTGTAGGTTTTGATTCAGCAGGACAATAACCCAGATGGCCTTTTAAAGGCAATTCAGAAGTTCCTGATCTCCTCTCTCCTGGACTTGATTCATACGTCATCTGTATTTGGGTCAACCCACCAGACCGTTTACAGTAGTTGATTCAAAAGCTAACCAATCTTGCCTATCATTCTGTTTTAGTGCTTTATATTGTACAGGTATATGATCAGTAAATGTCTTAAATGTGTTTTTTTACTTGGTTTTTAGCTGGCACCTGCACCCACAATTAAGGGCTAATGTTTTTCCAGCCGAAGTTTACAACCTCTGTATAGATTAAATGTCAGTTTAGCCTGCCCAGTCTTTGTGTTTACTTCCTAACTTTTCCCCTCCCTCCTGTTTTCATCCCATTTTCTTCTCCTCCCAGGTCTCATGGGTCCCCTAAAGACTCATGTTGTCAGTTTGCAAACAGGCAGTATTACAATAGTAAGCAAACTTGGGGGGGAAACAATGCTTTGTCCCCAGCTGTTGAAATGTTTTATAAATGCATTGGAGAGATGCGCGCACAAAAGCTACCAGAGGCACGTGATCATCTAGGGAAACAAATGTTTTGTGTTCATAAACGCTTCTCCTCCAGAAGAAGAATTTGAGTGAGAACGCCCTTCAACCGCCTGAGGAGACAGTGAAGTAGAGAGTAACATGTCATGTTTCCCTCACGCAAAGCAGGAAAGGAATGAAAAGATAATTAACTGCATGTTTGTTTGATTAGCAAGCTTATGAGTAGTGAAAAATTAAGCCTCAGTGAGTGAGAGGTTTGAATACTGAATTGGTGATCAGCCAAGTTGTACAACACATTTCTGGCCTCTGTGTGATGGACACAGGAAGGATGTCTGAAGAGCTGAAGTTGTCAAGCTGAAATATAAATATATCATTTGATTGTATCATTTCTGTATGATACTTACTCCATAACAGGGATATCGTTGAGGTACACTGCCAACTTTTAAAAAGGTAGAGAAGGCATAGAGACCTTGACATGACCTTTTTTTGCCATGGACAGTACTTCCTCAGAGGGAACCTGGGAAGTTGGACATGTTTGATTTTATATCAAAGATAGATTTATGTCAGTGTAGGAAGAATATTTTCACTCATTCACAATTTATTTAGCTGCAAGCAGTGGTGTAGGCATTGGATTTTCACTGTTTAAAGGTTGCTGGATGTAACTACCTCAGGCCTACTCTTACACACAGTATGATTTTAGGACTGGGAGAACACATCCTGTTGAAAATTCTCTCATAGCATAGGACGGGACAATGAAGCTCATGCAGAGGTGTTTTTTCCATTTGCAGAAAATTACTTTTTAACATGTACAAGACTGATTAATGTTACTTTCTATTTATAGTCCAACATTTTGTACCAAGGTCACGTTTTTCAGCTATTAGTTTTAGAGATTTAGAGATTTTTAGAGTTTCACTTCCACTCAAATCTTAGTACAAGACAAGACACCTCTGAAACTAATGGCTGGATTCTTGTGATGCTAAACTTAAAGATGAAGCTAACATACCATGTTCACAGCAAACATGCTTAACATGCTATACTATCTGTATATACATTGGCAAGCTAATGTTAAAATGTTGTTGATTTGCCAACTATTAGCATTTTAACATACTTATATTATATGTTACATAACAAGCTAAAATTTGAAATGTAGCATATAACATTTTACATTTTATTGTTGTCATGCTAATGTAATAATGTTAAAAAGCTCATGTTTATCAGCATGTTAACATGTTGTAGTTGGCATGCAAGTTAACATACCAATGTTAACACGTTATGTTAACATTAGAAGTGCGTTGAGCTTAATGCTAACATTAATATTCTAACATTCAAAGTGCACAGTAGGCTGACATGCGGGTTATATGAAAATGATTTTTTTCTCACAAGTTAGCAGAATCTAAAATGGCAACATTGTCTCTTTTTCATGCATCCGATGATGTGGTTTTTGAGCAGGACAGCGTCACAGCATCACTAGTTTGGCTATAGAGCAAAAAAAAAATCCCAAATCCCTACACAATAACAGGTTTGCTACACCTAATGAACGGTGGTTCAGTCAGGTCTTAGCCTATTATTTATTAAATTTGTCATGTTCCGTCTGTTTTTTAAATTAAAATGTCAATAAAAAGTTGATGACAAAAAAGGAGTGTTTGATTACAGACCCTTGCCAACATTCATTATACTCATTTCACTCGTTTCACAGTGCTGTCTCTTTTCATACTTTTCAGTGATCAATCTTTTCATTTTGGAGCCCCCTGATGATGACTAACCTGTTTTGATGTTTCATGTCCTTTCTTTTTTTTGTCACCCTGCCTTCACTTTTCTTCAACTCCATAACAACCCACGTCTCATTTCCCCTTTTATTTTGCTTTTTTAAGGTACTGGCGGGGATGAATGTGCATCCAGCTGAGTTTGACGGCCTCAAGCAGGAGTACAACGTCAAAGGCTACCCGACCTTCTGCTACTTTGAGTGAGTCGAGTCCTCTCATCTGTCTCACTTTAGGCTCAGCCCTCACTTCCAAGGCTCAAAACATCAGAGCAGGGCCACTTCAAATAGAAAGTCCAGTCCAGACCTCTTAAGCACCAACAGACATGATGGCGACAGACTTGCAATGGTGGCCCTCGGGGTTCAGAACTTGCTTCTACCAGGTGTACAGGAGAAAGTTTCTGACGAGATTTGGGATCTTCTGTTATTCCCTTTGAAGAAAGTAAAATCACTGGAGGGCAGGGTCAGGGCTGTTGGGTGTAAGTGGGTATCACTGCCAGGGAGCAAGGATCTGAAGAGATTAGTCGATTAATCAATAAGTTGAAAGACTCATCACACTCTATTTAAAAAAAAAATAAAAATCTAACTTGTCCCTGTTCCACCTTCCCAGTATCTTGAGGCTTTGGACTGGCTGGTTTGAATGGTATGAGATTCAGAAATTGTGATACTGGGCGTTTTGACTAAAAACCGCACTGTTAAGACAGTGCAAGGGGCTGCTTTGGTAGGGGGGTGCTTCTTCAGATACTGTGACGATAATGTTTGATCCAGTAAGGCCGGTTTGAGTAATACATGTATGAGTCTCAAGGCTTAAAAACACTTGACAGTAGTTAATATTCGACAGGATTTTATAAGTTATTACGGCGGGACTAATTCCAACTTTTGTCAAAACATCAGAAACATTGGCTTGCTCATGTTTAATTGGCCAAGGCAGCGTCTTGCTGGATAACAAGATGTTGTGGCAAAAGTTGAGCAAAGTTGAGCTTCTCTTTGGCAGAGGCCTGTGCTTCAGGAACCACACTGTGAAAATGCAGTTGCCCCACTGACAAGATTGGAGGGTCATTTTTTTCACGCAGTGCTGTTGTCTGCCTGAAGACTCAAAACAAGTCAGCAATTTTAATTGTTAATCGGCTAGACAAAGTAGAGGCTTTTAATATACTGTACTGAGGTTTTTTCATCTTCAAGCACACCTTAAGGCCATATGTGACATTGATTTATCACTCGGCCTCTGCGTTTCTTTTTAGAGTTTGGATGAAATTGATGCTGTTGATGACTGTTCAGCCTTAGTGTCTAAATATGCATACAGGCTCACATACGCACAAACTCAAAGCTTATAGCCGCATGCACAGTAGGAGCTGAGAGTGTGACTGATAGTGTTTGTTAATGCAGACACCCCCTCCCCCCAACCAGAGCATCCCTGCACCGTCCTCATATTTATGGTGTTGTTAACTGTACGCTGGTGCTTCGTAGCTCCTGCTTCATTCTCCGCTTCTTATTCCTCCTGCAGTGGCTTTATCATCCCCATTTCCACATTAAACACTCTCTCATTCCAGTCTGGCCTTTTAATTAGACCGGGACTGATTAAGTGCCTCTGTGGTTAGTCAGAGTGTGTGTGTGTGTGTCTGTGTGGTGTGTGTGTGTGTGTGTGTGTGTGTGTGTGTGTGTGTGTGTGTGGTGTTGTGTGTGTTGTGTTGTGTGTGTGTTGTGTGTGTGTGTGTCGTTGTTGTTGTGTGTGTGTGTGTGTGTGTTGTGTGTTGTGGCGCGCGCGGCTTGTTCTTCCTGTACCGTGTGCACTCTCTTTTTTGTGTGTGTGTGTGTGCAGGTTCACGCGCACGTCCACGCACTAGTGTGTAGCTGAGCCTGAGCCAGTCTGTTAGCTGGGAGCACATTAGTGTCAGCGCAGGGCTAGCTAACGACCATTCGAGCCTATTGGCTTCAGTAATGAGCCCCTCACTGATAAACAGCAGCTAATCACTGCAGGGTAAATCGGCATCAACACCGCTGGACTTATCTCGCTGCTGCACCCGCTGTAGGACCAAGCGTTCAAGGTCTTTTACCTTTTCCTGTCCTGCAGATTAAGGAAACTTACTACCCAACAGCACCTCAACTTTCTGTCAACTAAACAAACAATAAGAGTGAAACAATTTCTTTGCTTCTTTGTCCTTGCTGTGTCCTTTAATCAAGAAAAACACCAGAGACTGTCGGGCAAATGACATTTATTTCACATTTCCACAACTTGATTTTACAAGGTTTTGGTGTATTTTACGGCAGCAGATAAAGGAAGAGAATACAGAGCTGGTCATAAATCTCACTGATTGAATTCTAAGCAGCCACTCTCCGCCACGGTAGTCAGTTCACTTAAAATGCAAGTTTTAAGCTCCAAATCCAGTGTGTGTAATCGTGTATCGCCTTTAATAGTGTCCCCTCTGTATCTCTGGAGCCGGAACGGTGGCCGTCACCCCCCTCTGTGTTTGCAGAATCACACTGCCCAGAGCCGGTTACTGTATTGACACTGATCCTTCAGCACTAGGCTGAGCCATCGCATCCACTTTCCAGCCTTCAGTTAGTCACGGCGAATAGCAGAGTAGATAAACTTATTCCTATGAAGAAAAATCTGCTTACGTTTTGAGTCTTTGACAAGGAGATGCTTCTTGCTCATTTCAAATGCATTAAGACAGGTCACTGGCATTTCTTATGTGCACTTTTAAGCTAGTGTACAAAATTCAAGACAGAGGAAAGACTATCAATCATTTTTGAACTTTTGGTCAGTGCCCATAAAACACTTCCTTTTGGCTTTGAGCTGTTCTGTCTCACAGGCCTGACCCAGCTCTGTCTTAGAAACTGGGTTATGTTATTGTTTGTTACAATTGTGTTTAGGATCCTTTCTGTCCATCACACATATCATGGACTTCTTCAGTGTCCGTTTTGCAGGAAGTGATGAGGAATCAAACCTTTTTGAGTACTGAGTTGTGTCCTTAGTGTTCAGCATCAAAAAGTATCAAGCTGGGCGCCCGGTTAGCTCATGGGTAGAGCTGCGATCCTCCCACCATGTGAGGTGATCCTTGCTGCAGCGGCCAGGGTTTCGATATCCGATCTGCGGCCTTTGCTGCGCTGTCATCCTCTCTGTCCCCCTTTCCTGTCTGTCTCCAGCTGTCCTATCAAATAAAGACATAAAAGCCCCCCAAAAATATACTTTAAAAAGTATCAAGCTGAATTCTTGGTCTTGCTCGTTTATGTTTTGATTAGATATATACTGATTTAAATCATTACTTTGTTAAAATGTATTCCAGATTTTTATTTTGTTAGGGTAACAATAAACACTTTTATTTGAACACTTTTTGAACAGGACTAAGCCATAATTGTGTCCATTGATGACAGATGTTTTAGTGATCATCTTGTACTTGTGCTCTGTTGTCTTTTAGGAAGGGGAAGTTCCTTCACCACTATGAAAACTACGGAGCCACAGCCAAGGATATCGCGGACTGGATGAAGAAGTGAGTATGGTCCTAATCCCCTCACCCACTGAAGATACATTAAGGCTTCTCAAAATGCAGACAGATTTTTGTGTCCAAAGCTATTGGCAAATAAAAAGACCGGCGCTCCCAAACGGCATTCTGCCTTCTGCCTCTGACAGTAAACAAACTGCTCCCCCCTCTCACCTTCAATATCTGGCATCACCTTTTTCCTTCTACTGTGGTCTTCATCACACCTTTTCTTGCCCTGACTCACCTTGCCACGGTGTCATCAATCTACACCTGCTCTGTTCTTGTCTCATTTTTCTCTCTCACCTTGCCTCACACGCTCCGCCCGTAACCCTGTCTCCCACCACGGCTTGGCTCTCCTGCCTCTTTTTCTCCTCCGTCTTCCGTTTCCACTCGCGTTAAGGGCCTGGCAGGAAAGTCATGAGTGTCCACAGGGCTGCAGCCAGAGGGCTCAGAGGAGGGCTTTCACAGCTATCACAGGAAACGAAGCGAGACAGGCAGAGGATGTATTCCAGCTACACTCTCTTTAGCCCAGAAGCATAACAACTCCCTCCCCAGTCCTAAGCTTTTACTACTCTGCTTAGTCAGAGCTCAGTGGTATAATTTAGAAGAGGTTGCCATTGCCAGTTTGGTAATCAGGCAATCAAGTTGACAGAATGGTTGCCATGTTTTAAATTGAGGGATAATTCTGAGTATAATTACACCTCATATTTCAGTTAAACAAAGGGATAAACAGTTGTTAAACACAGTTTTCATTTCTTATTTATTTTGTCTGTTTCTCCCTTTCTCTCTGGCATAAAACAAAAATAATTCAACATGGATGGACTGACCTTAGATTACTAAATTTACTGTTAACTGATTGTTCATTTGCACATAAAAAATAAGACTGTCCTCCTGCAAGCCATCACATCACATCTGAAGTTTGTCATGTCAGAACCTTTTTTTTCTTCCGGAGATGCTGCAGATGAAGAAAAGCTGAAAAGGGTTTTTTCAGCGAATGGCATTGAAAGGTTTTTCCAGAATAGTCTGATGTGCTGTGTTCATATTTTGAAACGTTGTGTCCATTGTGCTCTTTCTGTAGCACTCACTGCGTCAGATTTTTTATCTCTTCTCCCCCATTTATCACCCCTACTTCGCCTCCCAAGTTTTGATGAAGTTTCTCTTATGTTCAGATTCAGCTGTCTCAGTTTTTAAATTCCCTTTCTTTTTCATCAGACTAAATTACTGCCCTTTGCTGTTTGTATTTACAGGAGATTCTAGAGCAGTGGCAAAGAAGTTTCCTTTTGATTGTTTGATTTTTGGGCCAATAGGAGCAATAGAGGTCAGAATCTAATACTTTTGAACTAGTGAAGTTCCTTGCTTTTTTAGGCTGCACATAACATCTTTTGACACTTGATCCCTAATACTGACATACTTACTCTAGAGTCTAGTTTCAAGACAATAATTGGACACAGAAATACAGGTTAGATTCCGTATCCTTGGGCATCATATCAGCCTTTTGTAGCAGTGTCACACCAGTCAGGAGGTAGAGCATGATTGGTATGGCTGTATTTAAGACCTGCGCTTTATGTTGCAGAAGAGCAACCAAAAATATCATCTGATAAAGCCTAAGCTTGGCTTCAGTCCCTGATAAACCCCCGCCCTGAGCTTTTTATATATCAGTAAGATGTATATTAGACAGATGACATTCTGGATAAAAGATCTGTGCCTGGAGGAGATGCAGCATTTCTTAGCACCCCAGTTGCACAATTCCAGGTTTTTTTAAAGCTATCAAGTCTCATGTGGCTTCAGCATGTTGGCTCAGGCCAGAGTGATTGCAGAAGGGGAATGTGTGTGTGTGTGTGTGTCTTTTTAAATGACTTTTGTGTGGATGTGTGCAAGGAGTGTGCACTTGTTTATAATCTGTGTCCACTCGTTCTTGGCATTGCAGAACTGTGCTCCGTAATCAAGGCGGGGCTGCTTTGGTCCAGATGTGTCTGTGTGTGTCTGTGTGTGTGTGTGTTGTGTGTTCTGTGTGTGTGTGGTGTGGTGTGTGTGTTTGTTGTGTCTGTGTCTGTGTGTACAAATTGGGTGGAGTGGGGCCTACAGCTGTGTCACATTTTTGTTCCATACAGATTACACGCTAGCTACAATGTGCCTGCTTTTTAAAGTGTCCCTCACCTATGTTGCCCTTGTTGTCCCCCGCTTCCTGTTTCAGCCCTCAGCCCCCCCAGCCAAAGACCCCCGAGGTGCCGTGGTCGGAGACAGACTCCCCTGTCTTCCACCTGACCGATGAGTCCTTTGACAGTTTCCTGGAGGAACATCCTGCAGCCCTGATCATGTTCTACGCCCCCTGTGAGTAAGAAAGCAGGTTGAAAAAGAGCAGTGCTGGAACCAGTGATTATTTTCACAATGAATTAAAATGAATATCACCAGAGCCCAAATGTCTTTAAATTGCTGTTCCAACCCAACAACCCAAAAGATACTGAATTTACAATTATATAAAACAAAGCATGAAAAGAGTCAGATTCTTACAAACTGAAAGCATCAAATGTTTGGCATTTTTAAGGTATCCTATTGTCAATTGTTTTCAGGTTGATTGGCTACTAAATTATTCAACCAATCCGTTCTGCACCAACACAAGAGTGGTGAAACTTCCTGTCAGTTGTAGGTAGGGTCAGTACTGAGGGCCAGTGGTAATCTATACTATCCTACTGTCAAAAAATCCCACGGAAAGACCAAAACCAACAATGTATAAATTAATCTCTCAAGACTTTAACTTTCCTGCCCAACCCACCCTGCCTGTGGCACTCAGCCCCCCAGCCCTTTGGGTCCTAAGATGTAAATCTTTGAAAACTACAGATTCAGTTTTGAGTTTTACAGGAAGAAGTGGTGGATTGTCTGGGGACTATTTTCAGATGCAGATGAATACATGTTTGGTGCTCTACGTATTAACGTCAGCTGGACGGTTTATGTGGCAATGACTCAGAATGAACAACAGTGCCACCGTTCAAAATAATGAAGGAACTTGTCAGCCAGTGCTGCAGTATTCTTGTATAGCACAGAGGTATAGGATATATTGAGATATAGATACACAGACGATACTTGTTAGTAAGATGAGTTCATTGTTAGTTTTGGTCTTTCCATGGGATTTATTAACAATAAAGACATAGAGTATTACCAGACTTGTCCTTTAACCAACCCCCTTTTCAGAAATACATGGATAGCCTTTCAGTTGTTAAATATCTGCAGCGGTGTTTGAGAAGAGCTTCACATTCCATCCTGCTGTGTAAAACATTCTCTTGCGGATTCTCTCGGGTAAAACTCTTGTTTAGTCACACAAATAACATCACTGTTTCACTGTCATGCTCAATATTAACAGGCTGCTGGAGAAACTAACTGGAAAGACATGAAGAAATGAAAAACAAACCCAGAGACAAGCTGGCTGCAGTAACTTTAGCTTTTTGCATCACACAGTTGCACACAAGCTCTTCCTCACAACAGAATACTTCATTGTTGCCATATGGTTGCCATAAGCCTGCTTGTCATTTTTTTTCACGCACCATACTGCCATTGTTACGCAGAACTTTGTAAACATGCCAGACTTTGTCAGTGGGTTAGATTTTAATTTTTTTCTAGTTCCAGATTGCTTTGCTTTGGTCCAGCCCTCCTGTGTGCGAGGGAGCTGTCTAAAGGAGACTTTGCCTGTTGATAAATGTAACCCATAGATGTAAAATCATGCAAATAGACTCACCCCATTTAGTAACACACACTGAGTGCAACATCTGCAACAATCCGAAGCGCTTTGCAACCAATTTTTAGACCTTTTTTTCCCCATTAGCTATCTCTTTACTTCTGACTACATCACCCTCTGTGCTCATCTCAGTCTCCACTGTGTACAAATAAATTGGTAAATAAGAATAGGGTCCTTTTTCTCTAGCTTTCACCATAATGATGATTCATTGTTTTCAGAAATTTAAGCACATACTTTGCTGCAGAGCTTTCGTACCTCCAGGTTGCCGGGAGCACTGCACTCCACCCAGAGGGCAAACACACTCTCCAGCTGTTGAAGTGATTAAAACACATCCTTAACACTCACACACTGCAGTGGGACCGGCTGCATGTACTATCTCATTATCCTCCAACATGCACCAGTAACTTCTGCCAGTTGGCAAGAAAAAATGTCATGACATGGGATTGCTGTAAATATGATAAATACGATTAAGAAAAGCCAAGTGACATCATTTCATTTATCGGATCAGTTTGTTTGGAATGTAAAAACAACCATTACGCACGACTGAGAGGCTGCACGCAGCCACTTGGACCAGCTTTTGGTCAAGAAGTAGCTACAGTGCATGTATTGTTTTCTTTCTTTGCCTGTTAAATATAAATGTACAATAAATAGGGCAACTTAAACTGAACACATCACATAGCTATCTCTGTGTTGAACTCATGTCCTCTAATCTCTAATCTCAGTGATTAGCATTTTCCAAAGTGTCTCAATACCAATTGGCCAATTTATCACAGATGTGATTGGCACCAAAATCATAAGTATCATTTGGTGTGTGTTAATGCTTCAGCGTAGTGCACAGTTATGTAGCTGAGGTGTGAGTCATTAGCATACAAGTACAAGTTTAACATTCTTGCTTGTTTGGGCAGCTTTTAAAACCCCTAAAACAGGCATATACTGTATATATGTTAATGCAAATAAATCATCACCAATAGTAACATATGTACTGGACATCTATCTGGAAATCTTCATCTTCTCTTAAGTCTGTATCAAACCAAATCAAAGAGCACAAAAACATGAACTATTTGACTTGTTTTCTAAGTTTTCCCAAATATTGTTAAACTTTATCTTTTTATATTAGGATATACTTATATTGAATATTTTATAATATTCTCATTTTTACATCCGAGATGATTTCAGTGCCATTAGTTTGTGTAGTTATTTAGGACAGATTATTCAACAACTCTTCTCAACTTTTTTTTCACCCCCCTTATCCTGAACATACAAAAACATGTTTGAGTGGATGTCTGAACAGTGCGGAGGGCAGACTAGTCCTCCCCGTCTTTATGTGGTGTCACAGCTTCACAGAAGCTTGTCCTGCACTTGACCCACCCTGCGGACAGCAGCCAGTCACCCACACAGTCAAATCAAGGGCAGGCAGCTAAAACAAGCGTCAGATCTTTTCAGCTTGCACACACACACACGCGCGCACACATACACAAATATCTGTACACCAGTGACACATATCAAACACATATTTCACACCATGACACAAACATTTATTTCACACCATGACACAAACATTTATTGCACACAATTACACCGCATATCTCTCTCATTGTCTTTCTGTCTTGCTCGCACACAGACACACACACACACAGATGCCCAGTCTTGCTGCTTCAATGCAGTTTCTTAATGGCCCTGCTGTCAGAGTGAGATTAATGGTCTCCCAACCACCACCATCAGCTTGCATTTCTGTCCACCTCTCAGCGCAGCTATTCTCACTGTCCTCTGAACAGCACTCAGCGGGGGTTGTTTGCGTGCAGTTCCTTACGGCGGCAAAACCTCCGACTGAACGCTCTGTTTCCCAGAGCCTGATTATGTCCCGGACCAAAACAGTTCCTCTCTGCCAATGTTGTTTGAATTAGGCAAAGCAAAATATAAAATACAGAATGTTGTTCCGGCAAATCTGGCTGTAAATGACGATGCTTTATCCCTAACTGTTTGTGAGTTGGCTGCAGCTGGTGCACCAGGAAGTTATTAGGTGTGATTTTAACATCTCTCCTCACTGGCCACTTAGCAAGTAGCCACAGGCTCAGCTTACTGCTACAGTGGACCCAGAGGAGATGACCTAACAACACCGTAACATTTGCTGTAAAGCAGAGGGAACTACTTTACAGCAAATGTTACGTGTATCTGTTTTTATTAGACCTACAGTGATGTGTGGCCCGTTTGTTAGTTCTCTTCACTCTGAGCTGTTCTGCCCCACACTCAGGCTGAATCAGCAATATTTCAGTGTGTTCCTATAAGCTCACCCCCTCCCCCACTCCACCCCCGTACACTCACACTGATCATGCCCCTCGTGTACCACTTGTTCTGAAAGGCTGATGCATAGCACAGGACAGACATTTGGTTTAGTCTCTTACTCATCATTTTGAAGGGTCAGACAAAGTCCTTTCCCTCTGTTTCGCCAGCCTTAACGCGATCTGATGATCTCACACTACAGCGACTGAGTTGAAAGACAAGCAGCATTCTTTTTTTCACGAGTCATATCACACTTGATTTATAGCCTGCGCCAGCACTGCATTGTTTATTGAAAGAAATTCTTGAACTGTTTTGACAAGGGCAATTTACCAGGTTTGGGAATGTACCAAGTTTGTTTCATGCATCTGTGCACAACATCGCTGTGAGCACATAACGCAGGCTGCTCATCCCTGATCAAACGGCATATTCATTATAGCTTAAGACGAAACATCTTGTACATTGTGAGAGACAAATATTGTGGTATGTATTTGAAAGTCATTTCAATCCAAAAATAAAATGTTTGCCAGTTTGCCCGCTACTCGTGAAATATTAAACACACCTCCACACCAAATAGGGACTTTATTCATGATGCTCTGAGCTTCGACAGATTTGTTGAAAAGAACACATGCGTACAGACACCACTATCCCCAGATAATATAGTTATACAGAGCAAAAGCACCACTCAATGCTGTCTTGCTTCTTACTGAAAGGGCAGAGATGCACAGTGTTTGGCTGATGGTGAAGTTTAGTGATGTAATGAAATTCATACTAATTTTTGCACTCAAGTTTAGAAAGCCACAACTCTCTCTAGAGCTGGGAGATAATTCATGTTCCCATTAAGTGACTCCCAGTGGAGTTTTTGTTTTATACATGTGGAGAAATTATGGGCTGTATATCTATGTACTCACTGATAGATATTCATACAGAAAAAATATTCCTATCAATTAACAATTTGGCTTTAGAATTGAGTCATAATACTGCAGGGTGCGTTTGCAGTAATCATTTTAATGATAATATAAGAAAGTACTTTCAATATTTTAAGTTTTAAGTGAATTATATTAGATACAAAAATATGTTGTCATTAATTGTACCAGCATGGAAGCGCAAGTCTCTGGTTGAGAAGATTGTTTAGCTGCTGTGTTATCACCATGCTGTTTGGTATGGGAGTGCTCATTAGGAGTATTAGGAGTATGAGCTAATGACATTCTTTTTTAACCATTTGGATTACCATAATATCTGTAACCAAAAAACACAAGACTGTTCCAGATTTCTTCTCACCCTATGCTTTTTTGTCAAAAAGTTCAAGTTGCAAGTGATTTGCTTTTACTGGACTGCTCTGGTCTGTTAATATGGGCACTGCAAGACGTTCCGCCATGCACACACGCAGCTCAGGTTGGCAGTGTGAACGAGCCGTGATGGTAACTGTGTAGCCCGGTCAGAATTTATCAGTGCACACGCAGCTTGTGTGTCACAATGTAGTGTGTGGGCTCTCTCACCAAACATTAGCGATTAAGTAATAAGTTAAAATTGTTCCTGTTAACATTATTTTCATCGAATATGGGTAAGTGCAACTTCAGGCTTCAGTTCTGGCTCGAGAGCAGAGTGGTTAGTGCTGTTTGAAGCCTGTTGAAATAACGAATTTAAAGATGCTCAAATTAGGAAGTTTGGATTTAAATTAAACATTAATTAATTAATTATTTAGTAATTCTGGGACTTCTGGTTTTACTTCATCGTGGCATCTAGCAGTGTAGTTAGATTAAAACTCTCTAACTTCACCCTCCCCTTCCAAGCACAAAGGAAAAACTACAGTAGCCGCAAAACACACAAAAAATACAAACGGCCCTATCTATAGCCAGTGTATGGTTTGTCCGCTCTGAGTTACTGTAGAAACATGGCATTTCAATAGATCCTCCTCCTGTTACACACTGGACCTTTAACCACATCGCCCAACTCTATCAACATCTTCACCTCTGTCTTCTTCTTCTTTCTTTATTTCACCACTGAATTCTGAACACTGAACTAAGCGATGAGCTCACCCTCACCTAGCCATTAGTCTGACTACGTTTGTCTCCAATATGCTTTCTCAGACACACACACACACACACACACACATGCATGAGAGTGAAACATGTAGGAAGTAATCAGACATGACTTAACTCTGCTGGTAAACATGAGAGTCTCTTGTCATCTCATTTACAGTTCCACCCTCAGCATGCCAGCAGTAAACCCACTGACAAACCAGGGTGAAACAGCAAGACACCAGAGAATTACAGCTGTTGGAGTATTGATTGAACAAGACAGCTATGAGGGTGTAATGTCGTGCAAAAATTGCATCATCAAACCTCTCAGCATCGGTTTTATGGCAGTAATTTCTTGGAATATACAGTTATCTTTTGTTTGTATGTTATGCAGGACTAAGAGGCGATTCCCTCGTGTCTTATTTATCCTCACCAATGTGACTGTTTTAAATAGCAGGCTGATGTTACCGGCTGATATTGACTCATCCCAAATTAATTGGTGTTGGGGTTAGGGTTAGGGTCTATCTTTGTCCATATGTGAATAGAAATTTAGTACATAAATGTTTTAGTGCTTTTATTTTCATGTATTGGATTCTCATTTTTCCAAGGATTCAGTTTAGAGTTTTTAATCAGAACTTGGAAAAAATGTCTGGAAGGCATTAGTTATCAGTGTTTTTGAATATCAAGTATCAGAAATCCGTCATTGGTCGGGCTCTAAATGATTTATTAATCCTTTTAGGGTGTGGACACTGCAAGAAGATGAAGCCAGAGTATGATGAAGCTGCTGAAATACTCAACAAGGGCACAGACGTAAGTTTCATGACCTTTGCTTGTGTTTACGTGTGCACAGCATGCATCTCGACAGGCTTGTGTGTTTAGTTAAATTTTCATATCTCACACTCTAATGAACATACACAACTACACGGGTGTAGTGGCGCCTCATTAACAGATCATAATAATCCCTTCTCTTGGCCTGAAGGCTTTTGGCCGATACAGCCGACGCGCTGGTCGGTCTGTCCTGCAGCCTGGCTCTCGATGTGTTTTTGATTAGTCGGGTGTGTTCCTCGCCTCTCCTCTCCGCCATTCTGTCCTCTGTGGTAATCTAACACTCCCCAGCCAGGGGCAGGGCCTATAAAACTCCAGCCTGGTGACTGTAGCAATTATCTCATCCGTGAGCGTCCCCCCGGCCCGATGCTTGGACCTTCTCCTTGTGGCTCTCTGCCCGGCACTGGAGGTCAATGGGAAAAGCCTGGCCATTATCTAATATGGATGGACTGGAGCCTCTCTCACCCAGAGCCCTTAAGACCCAGCATATCATTTATTTTTCTCCTCCTTGCTTCTCTGCTAGTGTTACTAATGCAGTGCTTTTATATACACATTGTATGCCCCTTTGCAAAGGTTGAACTAGTATTGTTTCTAAAGTAGTTGGTGTTAATTGGTGTCATGCAACAGGTTACTCTAAAGTACCTTCATTGGTCCAATTAGACAGAATGACTCTATAGTTATTATTTTACCAAAGTCCCACATGATTTAAGGTTTGTTGTAAGGTTGCAATTTTTTTCTCACAGAGTCCGGGTGTGTTGGCAGCAGTTGATGCCACAGTGCACAAGGCTGTGGGGGATCGCTTCAAGATCTCTGGCTTCCCAACTCTTAAGTATTTTGAGAAAGGTGAGGAGAAGTACACGTTGCCCCAGCTCCGAAGCCAAGACAAGATCATCGAGTTCATGCACAAGTGAGTGACATGTGATCGCTTCTTTACTCCTGACCAGGGAACACTGCCTGTGCAAAGTTAACATGTTTAGACTCAAACTCATGTGCACTGCAATTTAATTTAATCCTGAGCATAAACATTTTAGCTGTGCTCTCTTATGTCATATGCATGCTAATTAACCTCTGCTTATCTATTACCTTGTAAAGCAAAATGGATGAGGTGATTCATTTTTTTCAAAACGTCCTCCCAGTGTAATAGATTATTCTGTGGACAGGGTCACTGTGGAAAGTAATGTACCAGCAATGACATCAGTCCAGCTTTGGCAATTACGGGCTCCATAAAGGCATAAAGTCTGCGACCAGAGGTCAACAGACCTCATTTGCTATAAGGCTAAAAGAAAGCCTCACTCTGTGTTCTGTAAAAAATACTAATAATAATGATAAGAATAACAACAGTAATAATAATAATACCAATAATATCACTAGTATTCACATTTTTCTTTTTCATAAAAAGTTTGGGAAATGCTATATATGCGTACTATATCTTTACTTTTACCCCTTACAATAAATGTAAAGCAGTGTTTTTCCCTCCTTGTAGTACACATAATAAACACTGCTTTGCTCTCTTTGATGTCTGTAGTCCCCAGGCACCTCCTCCACCAGAGCAGTCTTGGGAGGACAAGCCCTCCAGCGTCAGCCATCTTGGATCAGAGGATTTCCGAGAGGCGCTGAAGAAGAAGAAACATGCTCTGGTCATGTTCTACGCTCCCTGTAAGAGCTTACCGTTATTCATATTAGCTCTGCTTGCTAACTTTCTTTTAACTTTCTTTTTTGCTAACACCTGTTAGCAAAAAAGTCTGGAATTAGTCCTGAAAGACTATTCTGTCATTGGCACCAGACACTTTTCACAAACTGTAAAATTCCATATGCTTGGTTGTTTTGATCAAACTATTACGTGTGTGTGAAGTTGTTGCAACCAAGTGTGATCACAGCCCTGCTCTGTTGGACTTGGTGTGATCATATCCTGGGTTTAAACCAGCATGCATACGTAACTCAGATCTGCCTGTCAAGCCCCTCAATGCGCAGTATAGTATATAAACCCCACCTAAGCCATGGGGAGACTAAGGAATGATTCATATGACTGAGAATAGATTTGTTCAAGTTAAAAAGAGAGAACAAATCACTTCCATCTCATATTGCCGGGTTCCTGGGAAATAGCTAAACTTACCAAAACGTGCCCTGGAAAAAAAGGAGCTGTCCTGTTAAATGTTTGCAGCAAAATGACCTTTATGTTGCTACAGTGTTAAACTGTCGTAGTTTGCCCAGTGTCTTTACAACAGCTGGCAGTTTAAATTACAACCTGGCCAGAGCCAGTTTTATGTGATCAGTGTGTCAGTGTTCAACTCATAATGGCTTTTAAAGCTGCACTAATAAACATTATTAACAGTATTAATGAATCAAATGATGTAATCAAATGAGTTATATGAAATGAGTTTCTCAAAGTGATGAATCCACAGAAGATTAACACCAACTTTGAAGATAGTCTGCCTAGTGTGGAGTTAGTTGGTAGCCAAAAACACCCAACAAATAAAGCTGCTTTAAAGAATGCACACACACACACACCAAACACAAACAATTCAGAAAATTTGGGGTTGAGCCAACCCTCTAGAATACCCCGTCATCAGCTTACTCAGCTGTTTTTCTGTTTAAATAAAAGACGAAGGTGAGAGTCTCTGTGACTGAACCTGTCTTTGAAAATGATATCTTTAAAAATATAAGGAACCAGTGTTATGACACTCTTGGTAGGAGTTGTCAAACAAAACACAGATGCAGAAGAAATACAGAACAGCTAACTTGCTTGATTATCAGTTCACTCGTAGACACACAATCACCTGTGTCCCTGTTTTTTTGGCCTTTGTGTCTGATGAGGGCTTCAAAGGCAGGCAGGGCACAGCGGTCAGACTGCAGACTCTGTTGGGCCCTTTGGTGCTTCTCTCTACAAAGAGACGCTCCAGATGCACATCAGGCAGCAACAACCTGCTGCCCTCCCACCCCATCTGCACCCTGGTGTCTTATCAGTGAGGGAGCTTGCGTTAAAAAGAGCATTTGATGAGATACAGCTGCTTGCCAAGACATCGAAGCTGGATATGCTTCAGGCAGCTTTTCAAACAAAGGTTTGGGTTATTAACCTTTAGCCTCAAATTTGCGTAATTGCAACTAAACTGGGACTAAATGGCATCACATCTTCTTTCTCTCGCCAGTTCTTTCCTGACCTCTGGCAATACTAAATTGATGGTCCCTTTTGTATACATACAGTGTTAAATTAAAGCACTGTCTAAGTTAGTACATACCTGTTTAGAGGAATCTGTATGAATAGTATTAAGTGATGCTCAGTCCCAAAAAACTACCTTTTTGTGTATTTAATGTTCAGCTATACCTGTATTGTATTGCTTATGTCTGTAGTTTTTATCAGTGACCGGTGAAAAGACAGCAGTACGTCTACCTGGCTGTCTCTTTGTATTCATCTGCCTGCTTTTCTGTCTACCTCACAGTCAGTCGCTCAGTAATTATAAGCAGGGCGAGTGAAAATGGCTGTGCAGGTAGAGGAGAGAAATGATAGTGGCAGGGCATCAACAACAGACCTATCTGGATGTCAAAACATATGTGAGATGAAACTGAAATATTCCTGTATTTAGTTTTACAGTGACCCGCCTCGGTCTGTTCTCTTCATATGAGGGCAAAACCTGGCATATGGCACACTGTTTTTCTTAAATATCGGTTTCAGAATTGCGACAGAACCTTTAAATGCCATTTAATGTTGCAGTTATAAGGGCACTCCAGCAGGAAATGGATTTCTGAGCTGTGCTGAATACTGGTTTATTGAGGTAGCTCTGAAAAGGGAGACAAATGAACGGTTGCAGAGGTGATGCATAATTGAGTTGAAGATAGACTTATCAGTGTGTTTGTAAATGCTTGTGGGCATGTACGCAACCGTAAAAATACCTAATTATGACTGTTGCCACCATCAGTCAGTGCACTTGTAGCCTTTGAAATCCATTTACAGTGGGATCGCCGTGTTAATGCTCTTAATGACTCGTGGGAACAAATCCCAAGATGTTGCTTATAACAGGGCCAGTGTCAACAATGGGTAGCTGAATATATTTTGTTTTACACATTTTCATAATATTTCCATTTATAAGATGAAATAGTAGCTTTAATAATTTGTTATTTTAAAAAGCCTGAAACTAAAAAAAGAGTGGAGGCTGTTACAGCAGTAGATTAATGCCCATGGTTTTAGAATGACATGCTTAAAAATCCTATGAATGTAATGCGTGGGTATTCACATATCAACCTACTCATTCATACTGATTAGCTCTGCATTGATTAGCTCAACACTCAGCACTGTACAGCCAACAATATCTCTCACTGAAGAAATCCCAGCCCTGTCTTCAGAACAGACACTTATGGGAAAACTGTCAAAGATGGCCTGTGATAAAAAAAACATTTCTCCCCGGTTATAATCCACATACTTTATTAGAAATAAACTTTATTTGTGACTCTTCACTATCACAAGCCGATTGACTGGTGAACTAACTCTGTACATAAAAACTCTTAACCAGTCACCCATTGCCAAGCTGCTTTTCTTTTCCTTCCTGGAAAATGTTACCCTTCGTCAACATAAAAGATCTCCTTGCCTTTTTCACCTTTCCCATTTCCATCAGCAGCAGCAACAGTTTGATTGTAATGAGCAGAAGAACTGGGTACTTGACATTAGCAACAAAAGAACAAAACAAACAAGCAGCGTGTTCACCAAACCTCACAGCAATTCAAAGGAATAAGACGTCATCAAGGTTATAACACCTGATTGCAAGTGCAGTGCAAAAACATCCTTGTCTTCTTAGCAAGATGTAGCTAGAGTCAGAAAATTGTTTTCCCTCACAGATTTATAGGTCTGATACAACCCGATCACCAACCTCATGTACAGTTGAATCATCTTACCTCCACCTACCAGAGGTGAACCTGCTGTAAATGTTATCCGTAGTTGTGGTACCTAGTGGTGTTATTTGTGTAAGTATTGACTTACTTTATATGGATGACTGCTGGAGCATAAAAGCAGTGGAGGTTGTGTTTATGACAGCAATAAAGAGATTTACAGTCTCTAATAACACACAAGTGAACCATCTCTAATGTGGCCTGAACCTCTAAATAACTGCAGCACTGTGAAGGGGCCACAGGCTTTAAGGACATGTTTGAGATTAAGCTAATGATCTGTGGAAGTGATTTTGTTTGTATCTGTGAATGTGTGCATGTTAGTACCTATATAAGCTACTATTTAGGACATGACGCTGTAATAATGTGTTTTCTCCTTTTCCAGGGTGTCCGCACTGTAAAAACTCTGTTCCCCACTTCACCACAGCAGCAGAGCTCTTCAAAGAGGACCGCAAGGTTAGTGTTGCTCGTTCACACATTCAGCGACATGATACACACATTTAGGGGAAGCAGTAGTGGTGTGGCAAAGATGCCTCGAGCTCAAGTTGACACTTAAAGTAACAATAGTAGTTTTCTGTTACGACCCACAGTTAGAAGAGAGGAGCAACATTGATTTTTTGTGTGAAAATAAGTATTAAATAGCTCTACATTCCGACAGCTATCACTGATATAGAAGGTTCAGTCAGTAACATGGGTCTCCCAGACATTTTCTGGTGTCTCTTATCTTTCTTATCTAATGAGGAGAGAGAACTTCTCAATAAGGGCAGTCCTCAAGGCAGGCGGCAGCAAGAAAGAAAACCTTCAATCTCTGTGTTCAGTGAAATGTTAGGGCCGGGATGTGTTTAGCCTAGCTTAGCACAAAAAGCCTGGAAGAAGGGAGAAACTGTTAATATGGAGAAAACACATTGTCTAACTATTCCAAGCTGAGTTACTCAGGTGTTGTGTCTTGTTGTTTATTTGGTCGTATTCTGTCTTTAACAACCTACACACATCCAAAGTCCACAAGATAAGAGAAATAATCTTGGGAATTGTTCACAAAATTAAGCTTGTAGTTCTCCCTCTTTTTACAGTGTTCTGTACAGTTTCACCATTTGCTAAGCTAGGCTAAATAAAACCTGGAACTACCACAATATATCTGTATTGGACTCACAGAGTGGATATTGATATCAATCTCTTCATGTGACTGGGTGAAAAACTAAAGTAATTTTCCAAAATATCTCAGGATTCTTCAAACCTGAGTCATAGAGCTTAATGACATTGTATATTCATTATCTACACTATGGACTGCATTTAGTGCTGTCAAATGCAAATTAGATTTAAATGGTCGAATGTCATGACCCTTTATAATAAATGTTATCTTTTGCACAGCTCAATAGGTGTCAGATAAGAGTTTTGTACAATAAGCAACTATTCTGACATTAGCATGGAGGCCTTCAGAGTGGTTGTAGCCACATATTGCATACTCCAAATGATAAGACCTTTAAACAATGATTTCCTGTAACTCGTGACTCAAAATTTACAACTCATTTCACCTCATTTCTAATATTTGTCTCCACGTGTCAGTTAGGAATTTGACCACTTAGCTAAAGCCCACACAGTCTCATCTAATCTTGGGCACACTTGGGGCTTTGGGGTTATTGAAGGTTCATGCAATCACAACAGGACACACTCCTCATCCTCCTTCATCATCTGTACTCCCTCTCATTCCTTTTCCCTCGAGACTCATGTCCTGACATACTCCCACTCCTGCTTTTCCTTTTAATACCCTTTGACTGCAGGGTTCAGTATTTCCAAACCTCGCTAATTGTGTGACTCACTCTCTCTCTCTCTCTCTCTCACACACACACGCACACACGCACACACACTTGGGCGCGTGTCTGGCAATACTTTGAGCAACGATTTATCATGTCAAAGTAACACTCACCTTAAAAAAAATTGTACTGTTGCCTTTTGATGTTTAGGTTTCATCAAGATGCTAATGTTATCCACACATTGTTCCAACAGTGCTCCGGCAACGCTGCTCTCTCATTTGTTTGGTATTTTTCAAAATCATTGTCAGATGGTTTAAAACTGTGACGTGTCCTCAACTACTTATTCATCCATTTTTCTGAGGCAATCCTTTGTAACATTTCTGGATAACATAAAACCTTAACAGATGAGCTGAAAATGTTTTTGTACACAACTTCGAGTATTGCCCTTCAGCTGCAACTTCAGGAACTTGTAAATGCCTTTGTTGATTTCTTGGTTCTTAGAGTATATACATCAGTACGTCATACGCAATAAAATAAGCGTGTGTGTCCAGATATAACAGATATGTTGTAATCTTTTGAAGAAATAATAGTTAACACAAACTGTAAATGTTTGACTCAGACTGAGACATTGGTCAGTCCAACAAACGTAAGCTTTGATACGTCTTCAATGGAGCAATGATTCTCAAAATGGCTACCAAGTAACACAAACTACTAAGACCTTTACCATCTAATGGAAAAAAATATTGACTTTATATTTTAAGAGAAAAGTTAGGACTTTTAGAACAGTCAGAAATGTTTTTTTGAGATCCGGTATCTAGCGGCCACAACAGCTGAAGGCACTTTGGCATTGCTTCACCATTCAGCTGTGATGTTTGGATCGGTATCCTTATGATAAACCTCCTCAAGCTGCCAAAACAGGGGGACCTCATATCTGTGAAGGTCAAATAAATGCAGAAGTTTAACATCTCTTCGTCTAGTTGTCCCTCCAGTGGCCAGTGGAGGTGTGAAGTTGTGTTTGCTCAAGAGTAAATCTGAGAACTGAGCACGTGCTTATTTGGCAGTCCTCTCTATTTATAAAGCCGAGCCCCAGTGTATTGTACCAGGCCGGTGTTGATCACAGTCTATTAGCTGCCCTCGCCTCATTTACTAAAGACAAACACAAGCTTAGCTGCAGCTTTGAAGATGCGAACAATTAGAACTTCACATTCTGTGCTGTAGGACAGCGGGGGAGCTGTGTACAGGGTTTGTCCTGAGCTGTTTGTCTTTTCCCTAAATTCGAATCAATAGCAGCATTAAAGGGGCACATTGGCTGGAACTGCTTGTTTCCAAAAGCTGTCTGTTGCCACTGTATTAAGAACATCGTTTTATTAGAGTATTTAATTTTTTTGAAGTATTTGCCCAATATGAGCTGCCTCGGTGCTGCTACAGTACCGGTAAAGCACTCAGTAGAAATATACTGACCTGTCATGATGACCATGATAGAGTGCTGCAGGAATGAGTCATAAAACCTCGGAAATTAGTTAAAATGTTTGTACTCCGGGTTCCTTCACCTTGAAGTCAAGGGGTTTTGGTTAGGTGCCTAAAATAAGAGATTTTCACATTTTGTTTGACAACATGGAATACATCAGTAAATGCCCAACCTGTGATTTTGGAAGCTTTGACCTGGTATTAAATAAGGCAGTTGCTAACAAACAAACAGCTAAATGAGACTATAGATGTTGATGACAAACACAGAGACTTTCAATACTGTCAATGAATTTCAATACTGTAAATGTGTGTGTATATATACGAGCTACCCCCCTTTAAGTTTTACACTTGGAGTTTACAGTCTATATTTAATTATGATATTATTACCCAGTTCTATATTTATTTTTTATTTTTCTTAGTTTTAATTTACACTTATATTGTTAACCCTTGTGGTTTGTTCTTTGTTGCAATCACTTACTGTTTTTCTGTAGTAGGTATTTTTGTTTTTCTTACTACTGGCTGCAAGTACAAAGAAGCATTTCACTGTGCATTGTACTATGTATAACTGTGCATGTGACAAATAAATCTCTCTTATCTAACGGTTTATCTTATCTTATCTTATCTAACTTTTCTACTCTAGTCTGCCTTTACAGCCTCATTGTGTTTATACTTAGTTGAAAGTTTAGTGGTGGTGACATTGAAATTATGCGACCAGTTTGTTTAGAACTTAACGTTTTAAAAATCATTAAAGTGGTATTCATTTGTTGAAGATTATCTTGCTGAACAAACCTTTCCTCAGAGCTGATCTGCAATATTCCAAAATCCAATGTAAAAATCCTATTGGCTTTTTGTCAAATGAACCAGGACAATGCTAATTTTCAGGTTGGCCTAAAAAATACATCATCCCTCTCGGATATAATGATTCTTTTTTTTTTTTCTCCTTCCCTGATCCTGACCTAAACCAAAGCCATGCAATATTGAGCATGCACTGCAGGGATTTGGAGTTTTTTACCTGTTTGCCATTGTGTTTTTGTACATAATACATCTACACAGTGCACACTTAAACACCCCATTAAATGGAGACTTTAACTTCCTGTAACACTTTCACTTCCTGGAAAACAATGAATGTTTAATGTACTGAGTTCCTTGGCTCAGACACCTGCTGTGTTAATTCGCTGTGTTCCTTTTTTAATTGAGCACAATGGGGCCTGTAAGGCAACTTTAATATGTATTATAATGTCAGAGTACATTAGTAAAATAAAAAGGACAGTTTGTGATATTATTTCTTTCAAAGTCACATTGTCTCTCTTTAATATAGTTAATGTTGATTGATAATAATATTCCTCGATTTACTCTGGTACCTGCTCAGGGACGTCCATGTTTAGTACTGTAAGCATAGGAACTTCTGAGTTTATCAGTACAGTTTGATTACTGCTCTGCTCTTCAGTGTGACGCTGGTGGATTGAGACCAAACCAACTGGTAATATGCTGCTCCTTAGAAATTTTGCTATTGGATCAATGACATGATGTGGAGTCCTCTGTCACTTGAAGATGGATCAATAACAGAATTGGCTGCGGACCTTTGAAGAACAATGGCTCCTACGGCTTCATTTTCTCCTGTCAATTCACAGAAACTCTGATTGATTACTACACACAGTGATGAGCAGCCGGATGGAGTTGGTACTTACATTATGTCCCTTTTTGTAGCTACTGTTGCTGCAGTGAAGTACTCTCTGTGTATCTGTGTAAGTGGTCAAATATTTTTAGAAAATCACTGAACTGCCCAAGAACATGAAGAATCTGATGATTTTACGCAGTGTTGTCAGCTAAATTTCTGTTGACTATTTGGCTTTTTCAAAGGTGAAACACCTCAGTCCTGCTGAATATACACAGCTTGCACAAAGTCTGTGAAATCCTCTTGTTGTGGGGGTACACTGAGGCGTAGTTTAAGACCCCTGATCAACAGACCATAGTAGCAGAATATCCCTTTATAGGCACTGTCCCCCACTGATAAATGGAAAAGACACTATTTCTTCCCTAACCCTTCTTGTTTGCAAATGTCTTTGCTGCAGATGCAGAGGAAACCAGCAGTGTACTCATGTAGCAATATGTCTGCGCTTATGCGTCTTCTCAACATTTGAGTGTTTGTATTTGCATGGGGGGAAAAAACAAGAGGCACTTGTATTTTGTAATTAGAACAAGAAGTCTTGAGCGTCGCCTCACGGTTGGACGTGCAGAGAAAGTGTCTAATATGTTTTCCTTCTGCAGCAGATTTGTCATTTCCACATTCAGCTCGAGCAGACAGATGGACGGGGAGTGATTATTTGATAGTGACAAGTTCAGTGTGCAGCGCTCAGCACCCTGAGAGAGGGTGACATTTCAGCTGTCCAAAAGGACACGCTGAGTGAACCATGTATCAGTGAGGCGGCATTTACGCCTCATTGGGGTGGCTTGTCACTAATCGATGCAACAGCCTTGCAACATAAATCTCCCTTGTTGTTTTTATGTAGGAGTGATTGTTGTGGGATTTTTTTCTCCCACCACCCACTCCAAATGGTTTAGCTGAAGAGAAATACATTTGTCATTTTTTGTAACCTGGAAAGAGACTAGTGGTCTAAATTTGGACAAGGAGAATGTGTTGAGCCTGCTCATGAACAGAGCGGCTGCATACATGCAAGCCCCCGTTGTAAATGGTCGTTTTACATTTAATAAATATTGAGTTCTCATTATATTCTCCTATAATATCCTGTGTGCGAAGTTTTTGTTGTCTTGATCTACAATTAGAATAAAGTTGATTTGTTCTGAAAATATAATGAGTGCTTGAGAGACACTGAAACAATAACTAATTGAACCCAAACAATAAAAATGCCATGCATGAATTAAAATCATTTTTACAGAACAATAAAGCAGGGAAATATAATAATAGAATATGAGCTAAATCCTCTATAAACCTGCTTTCAAAAATGTTTTAGGAGGTATAAGATGTTACAGACCTTGCTAGTTTTAATATCTACAGGCAGGGCAAACACCAAACTACATTAAACTTAATTATGATTATCATTGTTTTTATTATCAGAGTAAAGGGCCACCAACTTTTCTTAACACATATAAAAATACACACACGTTTCCATTATGTAACCTTTCCTCAAACATAGATTAAAGAAGGCTTTCTAGAGAGTTTTGACCCACAATACATTTCATGCAGCGATGTGTGCTAGTATGCTAATGCTGTGTTTTATAAGAAAGTTAATTTAATGAGTCAGAGATTTGATGACTTGAAATTTTGATTTAATTATACATTAAGTTATTGTAATAATAAGAGTGATTGGTTTCACAAAATTCCACTTGAATGTTTTTATTATTTACCTTTTAAATGTCCCTATGGTGAACTCCCATCCAACTGTTTTTTCCTCAGATTGTGTATGCGGCAGTGGACTGTACAAAAGGACAGAACCATGAGCTTTGTAAGCAAGAAGGGGTGGAGGGCTACCCAACATTTAACTACTACAACTATGGCAAGTTTGTGGAAAAATACAATGGAGATCGTGGGGTAAGTGTTATTACATATCTCACCTGCTGTCCTACTTTCTCTCTGAAACTGTTAACACACTCAACATACCGAGAACCCTTTTTTGTTTGTGAGCTGGTTTAGTTACATACTCAAAACATACAACACACACAATCTGTATGTATGCTAAAGCAAGCAAATAGCATACACAAGCTCCCTGTTTAAGTCAGGGATTCCCCAAATCAAAGCTATACCCCAGACTAGTTCAAATTTGGCCATTAAAGATATTTTGTATTTGTAGGATCATGGAGAGTCTGTTGGTTTGTTTTTGCCTAACTGAGCCTCAAGGATCAGACCAGTTGAGCTGTCTTGAAACTTACAGCAATATCTTTCATGTCGCATTCTTTCTCAAAGTATGATGTTGCACAATCACACAGGATCCTATATGTAGGATTTTGTTGTCATTTAATTGTGGCACAGATTTTGTTCTAGTATTGTAGGTATTAGCCAACAGAATAACCTGTAGAAGTTTTAGCTACTTTAAGAAACCTTGCCTACACACAAGTCCCCATGCCTCAGTAGCCTGTCTTTAGGGGGTGTCTGGCTTACCTTCTTAAGACAGGCTACTATGGCATGGCAATTTCTGTCTGATGACAAACACTGGGATGGGGATCTACACATCAGAATGAAAGTGCAGTAGTGTCCAGGCAGCCAGAAACCAAAAATCTTTACCTTTTCACAGCTAGATTATTTCTCCTGTTGGCAGATCACTACAAGCGGACAGAAATCTTGTACTAAATAATGAACTATTTATGGCAAAAAAGAATGGTCAAGAGTCAGGGTGATGCACACATCTCAACCCAACTTTAAGTGGAGTATTCGACAGACTGATCTTGATATTTTGGATTTTGATAGTTGATTGACCTTGAACTTGGCAACAGTATTTGTATTCTGTGTTTACTTCTCGTATCTCCATACTGTCAGGCTAACTTCAGATAATGTTTCATGACTGCACTTAGATCTCTTAGATTAGAAAGAGGCATTTCAAGACTGACAAATTGCTTCAAGTTGTGAAACGATCACTAAAACTTGTGCTTTAATAACTGTCCCTCTCTCCACAGGAGGCTGGCTTCACAGGCTTTATGCGCAGCCTAAGAGGACGTGATCAGGAAAAGGTTGTCAAGAGGAAGGAGGAGCTCTGAGGCCGGCGTGCAGGGATGGGGCGTTGCACTGCACAGTTTGTCATTGCACTGTGACCCTTGACCCTGACAAGGGCCCTATCAGCACTGACGTGGGAGACTTGATGACCTCAGCGAAAGGCTATTTTTTTATACCATGGTGATCATGTTTGTAATAATACCAACAGAGTACCTACAGTTAGACCGACCACTTGAGACTTCTTTTTTCATGGATATTCTGATGGGCAGAAAATACAGACAAAAAAAGTGATTTCTTTTTTCTTTTCCTTTTTTTGCCCAAACACTGTGACTGCATATGTGAGCACCCTAGCTACACCCTATACTGTATCTATGCAATACTGACCCCTGCTTTGCCCTGTGGTGGGGGTCTGTGTGACTGATTGACACCCGTGGTGGTGGGTGGTGGTGGGCAATCATTAGTTAAAGGTGGAGGCTGCACTGTCAATTACTCCACAGGAGTCCTGGTCCAGTCCCATCAACCCTGCTCTGTCTCTAGAAGGAGACACATTGTGATTACAGAACCTTCATGTCTCAAGTCTAGAACCATCCAGAATATTTTTTTTTATCCTCACAGACCATTTAAATATTAAACTGCATTTAGAAAGTAAAATGTGAAGTGCTACTGTAGATAAGGTACCGTAGCAGTGTGAAGTAGGTGAAATCCTGGCCAAAGGGTCAATATTCTGTATGGTTCCGGGCTCTCATGATTAGATTTGCTTTTAGAAATGACTTTTTGTTAGTTCAAAACTGTGGCCTTAACAATCTAAAAATAAACAATAGCTGGAATTGCATAAATATAACATGATAAGTGGAAGATAATCAGAGGCCTGGTGCCCTTGCAGTTCCCTCAAGTCATGGACCAGAGCAAGTCAAAGGAGAAGAAAAACAAGAACATGAAATGCCAAATATTTGTGTGCATTGCCCTTGATATCTTCATGCTTTGTACATTTCCAGATAATAACAACATTCACAGCTGTAGTGACGTCGTGCACCTCCTCTGTTGTTCATTCAGAGTGGGATTTCATCAATGTTTTAACGAGGGTAGGGTTCATTTACATAATCATGGGAGATGTTAAAGTATGGTGGCTAAATATTGCATGATAAAATGTCCATAACAATTCACCCATCCTCCTTGCACCGAAGCAATCATGGATTCCACCTAATATCCCACAATCCCTTCTGCATTCACACATCGTTCAGGCAGATGCTGTAATAATTCAGGCCTCCAATGTACACTTTGGGAATTCAGGGTTTTTGTTTAAGGTTACCCAGTCTGTTTTATGCCCAAGTGTAACCTGAACAACACCCAGGAACCAGAATAACAGAGCAAGCACTCTGGGAACGTTGGGTCTCAATCTGTGTCCGTCTTCAATGCCTTGGCCTGGAACTACTTGGACAGTACTCTCCTCAATCGAATTCCCGGGGATGACTTCATAGTACATCCAAGGAATAATTAAGTATTAAGTGAGTGAAGGCTCCGGCCCCCGTTCCACTTCTGGCAGCGTAACCCCATCGATTTGGAGCCATCATCATTACTTTTGTGGCCATTTTTTTTAATGCTGTGTGTTTTCAACTCCCACACTACGGCCACTATAAATATTTAAAGGCTTATCTGTAGCTGAACTTGTGTTTTATTATTCAAGACTTTGGTTTCTTTCATTATGAATAAGGTTCTCAGGGATAGCGAAACACAATTAAAGGGAACTAGTTTGTTTGTAATTTTGCATTCCGGCTGAATAATTTTGAGCCCTTAGTTTACCAAATTAAACATTGTTTACATTTGTATCCCAATGAAAAAAACAAATTGAGCTGTCTTTTTCTGTGCTATATCATGACCACGTGTATCGAATAAGACGTATTGTCAGTAGATGTTACTGAACCATTTCTCGTCACATTATCATTGTGATTCTTAACGGACTCATTTCAAGTGAAACTGTCTCAGATGTTCTGGCTGGCACCAAACACTATTTTGTGTTCAGTGTGACTATTTAACATTTCATGGTGTGCAAGAGCATTTTGAAAATGTGCTTTACACAGTTAGGTGTTGACATATCGCTGTAATTAGGTGTTCATTCTCCTCTCGAGGTTAAACAATGACCTTTGTTTACTGTGTCCATTTGTTTTTGTTTAGGAGCCTGCGCAGTGACATCACATGTGGTTTGCTGAATAATAGAAAGACCACCTCTGTCTTATCCCAAAGGTATCCATGTTGTGTGGGAATTTGTCACACTTAATGCCAAGAAGTCATTGTTGCCTTTGTTGATTTTTCTGTGCCCAGCCATACGTACAGTTTTGCCCCATGCAGTAAGGACCTTGCGAGTTAAAAAACTAAATAAAGTCAAACATTTCCAAAACATTTTTCACTTGTTTTTATAAAATATGCACCTCTCTGCCATGCTTATGTTATTTTACAGCCAGGTTTTTTTTATTTTATTTTTAAAATTAAATCCTTTGAGACGTTTGGGGTGTGGCTCTAGGTTATGCTATGTTGGCCAGTCAGTTGGACTTTCACTTCCACAGTAAAATGTCTCCACACCCACTGTATTGATTTCCATGAAATTTGTCCCCCACAGGATTAATGAATCAGTGATCGGTTAATATTTTTAAAGCCCCTACAAGGAGCTTTTTTTGATTTTGGCCAACTCTTGTGGACAAAAAGCAGTAATTTTCTACCGCCTTGTTTCATTGATTCCAAGCAAAAATAAGTTCCTGCAGCACCGGACCGCATTTCTAGGACCCTAGTTTTTTGTGACAGTACCATTTAGCCAAATACAGTTGGCTACAGTTTATTCCACCAAAATTCTACTTTATCCACGTACATAGTGTTTTAAAGGTTTATTCCACACATATACTACTTTAACTAAGTACTTATATAGAGTTGCATGTTGAGCAATTTGTGTAATTAGCTCATTATACTCAGGTTAAATAGATATGGAATCATATGCTGTGCCTTTGCAGTCACTAGATCCCAACCAGGTATTGTAAAGATTTCACGTTACAGTTTCATTAAAAGAACAAAAAACAAAAGACAACACATTCAACTAATGATCAACGTTATACCTTGAAGATTGCGTGCAGGATCCTTCATGTAGTTAATAATAAATAATGACTAGGACAGTACTCCTATTTGAATGGATGGATGGAATATAATTTGCCACCGGGACGTTTCGGGCAAGACGCCCGAATACAGGCTGATAAAGGCCGTGTTGCCTAAAACGTCAATGTTAGGCTAACAGTTTAAGCAAGCTATCTTACACTAACAGACTGTTTATTGTTTGTTGATTGCTTGTCTGTAGTGTTTTTATTATAGTTAGCTATTCACACTTCGGCTAACGTTAGCTGACATTAACTTTGTGTTCCAGTTCAAGACACCAGGATTGTTTTTAATATTGTGCAAATAAAAGTTGACACACATACAGTAACTTTACATACACTCTGGTTGTGTTATGGTCTCATTACCATCATTACCACTGCGATTACTTTAATGGCCAGTGTTGACTGCCTCGACCAGACTTTGTACTATTCTAAATAATGAGGAAGTCAGCAAACACTGTTAAAACTCTACATACCAAAAATAGACACCGAAGACACATTTATATGATAATTGACACAGAAATAACGCAACACAAAATCCGGAGCGTGAGAATATGTTTAAAGTTATTTTAAAATACACCAGGAACACTGTCTGCACAATAAAATAACAAGAAGTTGACCTTGACGGGTCGCTGAGCTGAACAAAAACTGCTTTCACCAGGACAATCTGTTTATTTTGACATAATTCTCAGGAAAAACAGGGAAACAAATAGAGCACGAGCAGCACTCAGCAGATCTGACACTGATGGCTTTATTATGAGAAATGGCTGGAAATTGGTACCAGACATAAAAGTGACCCCGCTAACAGTGTCAGTATCATATCTCCACTGCCTGAACTTTTCCAACTGTTTTCCAAGCATGGGTGCATGTTGAATATTATAAATGGTTACTTTTGGGATCAGGGTCCTGGGAATCCTGTGTAAAGTTCAGTCCTCATAGAGCCCGCTCTAAGCTGAGAAATGACTTTTAAGACTGAAGTTTCTTGTGCTCCCTGTTTGCAGTCTCCAGGTCATGCAGGTCTGCTTAGATAAAGTGCTGTTGTTGGGATGCATGCAGTGTTGAGCCATAGCAGCTGATTAATGCCTGTGAGCACAGGCAGAAATACCCTCTCAATCCCAATTTCACTTAAGAGGATTTTCAAAGGGGTGGAGCACTTTTTCATGCCTGGGAGCATTGCTTCATTGCTTCTTTGTGGGTTTTCTTGGAGGGGAGGGACAAACATTTTAACCTGTGCAAAATGAGCATAAGAAAATGGGGGGCACAGGGTTGTTAACACAAAGTCAAGGTCTGTTCGGACTCAAGTACCCTTAACAAAAGCCATTTTCCCTTTATGGATAATTGTGTTTTGGGCTGTTCAGGATTTCATTTCTCTGACGTTAATCTACACTCTGCCTTCATCCACCTGCCTGACCTCTACCTCACCTCTGCTTCTTTGTGTCGTTATGTTATTGTTGTTGTTTTTTTTTTTGTTTTTTTTTAATAAAAGCTCACACATGACCCCTTCTTTTTCAGATGTATCATTAAAAAGCAACTTCCTGTTGTTGATTTTTCTTTTCTGTACATACTTTTTTCCCGCTATTCAATATGCCGACACAGGGACAAATTGGTTCAAACACCAGAAGTCAATGAAATGGATAGACCTCTGAGAGTATCTGCTTGGCAGAGATAAAGATTTTCTTTAGCTTGTTTTTCACGAGGCAGTAATCAAAATGATTTGCATCCTTTGCTGGAGGATCCATATGTCCACTCTGTGCTATTCAGTGAATCTGTCAGTCAGCACTGAGAAGAGCAACTTCCCTTTTATGATATTGTTGATAGAAATTGGTC